TCCAATTTCCACCTACATCCAAGACAAATAAAATTAACTTAATGATCAAAGGTCCCAACATTGTTTTGACTGAAATCTAACATGGGCTTAACAAACTTACATCCAACTCTATCAATTTATCCACAAGTGCAGGTAGCATTGATCCGCTGTCGCGCGCGGATCAAAACAAATGTTTTTTTGTGAAAATTTAGTACAACGACAGTAACTTGGAAAATCGTATCGCAAGGATTCTTATAGTGATTAACCAATTACAGTAATGAAATAAGGGGTGTTTGTTTGGTTTAGGATCGATTAAATAAAAAAAACAAAAAATAAGTGATTAAAAAAAGTGATTCTTAAAATAAGCTGAAACAGTTAATCTGTTATTTTAGTTTCCTAACTTATCATCGATCCCAATAATTCCCAATTCCTAAGCGGATTCTATCCCCTTTTCGATTATAATAAAATCAAACAAGCGCAATTGATATTATACAACACATATTCTTAATTTCCGAATTAAGCAAACGGATGAGATACAGTATACGCGAATTAAGCAAACACGAGAAACATACGCGAATTAAGCAAACACGATTAAAGCATAAGAACATGAAATCATCGAAATAAATCAATCACCCCTAAGATAAATCAAATTAAGCAAACAAGATATCACAGAGAAAATTGAAAGGAAATAGATTTTATTGGAAATTAAAGGAACCTTAAAGTGTCGGCGGAAACCGGTTACAGTAGATCAACCTAAGGAAGTTAGTTCTCCATGAGTTCTCTTTTAAGCGTTCTTCTTTTTTTCGTGAATAATGAATGGGATCCTAGGCTGTATGGCCAGACCTAGACTAAAGAGGAGACAAAAGAGAATTCGGGTCATAACCCAACTTGGTCAAATAAACATAACTCAGACCCAAAACTAACGACCCAAAACTTAATAAAACTAATGTTGCAGGTTCAAACGAAATTCTAGAAAAATATGCTCCGAATATGACTTCGACTCCAACACAAAAGTCGTAGCTCTCTATCTTAGCTTTCCGTTGATTATTAGAATGCCTCAAACGGATTCCTGAAACTCCAGTTATGATCGTTTATGTGCAGACTGCTAAAGCTGAAAAATAAAGTGCGAAAATCAAATTAATCCAAAAATAAAATAAAATATAAAAACATAATAAAACATAAGAATAATCAAAATAAAGTAAAGAAATGCCTAAGTAAAAATATAGGAGAATGTGCATAAAGATGCACTGATCAAATTCCCCCACATTTAAACTTTTGCACTTCGAGCAAAATTAAAATAAAACAAAACAAAGAAAGCACAAACACATCAACAGTTACTCATTCCAGGCTACTAGTCTTCTTCGGTTAAGTTTGCATTGATAGGTACTAATCTTACACACTAAGGATATCGTAGGAACACTAATCCATAATTGTGCAGTCATAGACCTCTTGAATATACAAATCAACTCGAATCATGTTATTATGCTGAAGCCTAACTTACTCTTCCTCCTTTTTGCTCTTTTTCATTGAGGCGCAATCACATTAAGCCTGTTATCTCCACACACTCATAGCAAGGCGACCGGTTAGTGACTCTGATCCTTTTTGTTTGGGGTTCTAGTACTTACGTGACATAACCCTTTGCTTACTCAGTTGTAGTTGCGGGGGATCAGACCGTAATCCGCCCTACCAAATTCAGCACCAGAAACCGCTGAACCAACTACAACAAGTCTTATTATCATTTTGAGATTTTTTTTTTGTTTTTTTCATTTTCGGAACACTCACTTATATTCATCGGCTTTCATGCGTAGAGTGCGTGTGAGATGGTGCTGACTGCTGAAATGAACTACTCAAGAGCTGTCAGAGAATGAAAATTTAAGGCTAAAACATAAAGAGTATTCAAATCAATTTCCACATGCAGGAGACTTACGGTGTTAAGATAATACTGATCTTGTGAATTTTTCCTAGGTCTCCGCAAAGTAATCTCAAATTAGACTATAGCCTCAAACTTTCAAGAAGATGCATTTTTTTTATTTGACTGAAAACAAACAAAAACACTAACAAAAACAAGGAAAACAAACGAAACAAACGATTTCCCTCCCCCGCACTTAAAACATGCATTGTCCTTAATTAAAGGATATAACTATTAAATAAGAGTGAGAGAAAGGAAAGAACACACCGGGTAGTCAAGGTGGATAGGTAATCATATAAGCAGCCTTTCCCAAAGAGAGATCTTCTACAAACTCCTCTCCCAAAGTGGGGATGTCATAAAGTAACTTTGGGTAGCATCCATTGGACTTGAAATATTTATTAGTGACTTCAACTTTTATTCCAGGATCAAAGAAGAATCTTCGATAAGTAAAAGTGTCAAATGGGCATGTGAAAGTGGTATCCGTTTCCACAACATCAAGAATCAAGGGATTAAGGGGCTGCCTCACTGCTTTTCTTCCATCTTCAATTGAGACCCTACGCATACTCATGGATGGACTAAAATTACGAGTGTCAACCAAGGTCCATCCAATTCCCTTCTTATGTTCATGCAATAACTTTTCTTCCTGCTCAAATTGAAGCTTTGATGAATAATATAAATCCTCAGGAAGTGGTTCAGAAGGTGGTTATTCAGAAGAATATTTGGTTGGGGAAGCCGTGATATTAAGAGTTTCGACTATATAAACGACATCATTAAAAGAATCACCCTGCAAGGCAGCATTAATCTCAGTACAAACAAAGCAAACATTAGTGTCAGTACATAAATCACAAGAGTAAGTATCATCATAATCTAATAAAGATGGAAAATTAGATAACAACTCAGGATAAATATCATCAACTAAATCAGACAATAACTCTTTTAGATTCACTACTGTTTGGGCGGGTAGTTGGTTTGATACTTGAGCTTGCTGCATGGCATTTACTATAGTGGCAAGCTGTCCAATTTGTATCTGCAGAGTTTGAATGCTAGAATCGGTCCTTTGTTGGAACTGGAGATCATTCATAGCCATTTGCTTGACAAGGTCCTCTAATGAAGGTTCAGAAGGTATAGAGCACGCAATTTGAAATTCATTCATATGTTTATTCGGAACCTCACCTGCAAGTCCATTAAACCTTGGCAACAACATCATCATCATATTCAATATACAAACCATTATAATTCACCTCAAGGGCAGCCAATTGCCTTAAGGTTCTATTATCAGCCATTTCAAAATCAAGTTCAGTATCCGAAGCAAACAAGTTATGCAGATAGTTAGACTCAAACTTAGACTCAGACTCAAACACAGTGATGGAAAACGATTACTTAAATTTCAGAAAAATAAAATGACACCATAATTAAGCTAATTAAGAAAAATAACATTTATGAGATTTTTTTCGACTCTATGAAAACAGTAAAAAATTCATTAAAAATAGAAAAAAGAGGAATTTGGCGATTTGAGGGGCGATTTTTTCTGCTTCAAGTTCACGAAACAGATCTAAAAAAGAAGGCGATTTGCCCAAAACCTGGATTTTTTTACTTGGTCTAACGAGAAACAGGACGGTCACACGCGAAAACGCAAGAAAATACACAAAAATGCAGAAAATTAAAACAAACAAAACCTAAAACTATACTATTGGCTAAATCGACAAGAATCCCTGGCAACGACGCCAATTTGATGCACTGTCGCGCACGGATCAAAACGAGTGTTTTTTTTTTGTGAAAATGTAGTACAACGACAGTAACTCGGAAAATCGTATCACAAGGATTCTTGTAGTGATTAACCAATTACAGTAATGAAATAAGGGGGGTTTGTTTGGTTTAGGATCGATTAAATAAATAAAAACGAAAATAAGTGATTAAAAAAAGTGATTCTTAAAATAAGCTGAAACAGTTAATCTGCTGTTTTAGTTTCCTAATTTATCATCGATCCCAATAATTCCCAATTTCTAAGCGGATTCTATCCCCTTTTCGATTATAATAACAATCAAACAAGCGCAATTGACATTATATGACACATATTCTTAATTTCTGAATTAAGCAAATGGATGAGATACAGTAACCGTGAATTAAGCAAACACGAGAAACATACGCGAATTAAGCAAACACGATTAAAGCATATGAACATGAAATCATCGAAATAAATCAATCACCCCTAAGATAAATCGAATTAAGCAAACAAGATATCACAGAGAAGAATTGAAAGGAAATAGATTTTATTGGAAATTAAAGGAACCTCAAAGTGTCGGCGGAAACCGGTTACAGCAGATCAACTTAAGGAAGTTAGTTCTCCATGAGTTCTCTTTCAAGCGTTCTTCTTTTTTTAGTGAATAGTGAATGGGATCCTAGGCTGTACGGCCAGACCTAGACTAAAGAGGAGACAAAAGAGAATTCGGGAAATAACCCAACTTGGTCAAATAAACATAATCGAGACCCAAAACTAATGACCCAAAACTTAATAAAACTAATGCTGCAAGTTCAAACGAAATTCTGGAAAAATATGCTCCGAATATGACTTCGACTCCAACACAAAAGTCGTAGCTCTCTCTCTCTCTTAGCTTTCCGGTGATTATTAGAACGCCTCAAACGGATTCCCGGAACTCCAGTTATGATCGTTTCCATGCAGACTACTAAAGCTAAAAAATAAAGTGCGAAAATCAAATTAATCCAAAAATAAAATAAAATATAAAAACATAATAAAACATAAGAATAATCAAAATAAAGTAAAGAAATGCCTAAGCAAAAATATAGGAGAATATGCATAAAGATGCACTGATCAAGCATGGTATTTGACATGTCATAACATGAAATGAAAGACAATAAATTCATTAAGTTCATTAAATTGAGTAACTAATACATCAAGAATTTGCAACAACCATTTCACTGAAAATGCAATCTGAACTCAGATGCTCTGTCACATCGTAACGTTTCGGTATATTCTGGACAACTATTGGTGATAATCTCATGGGAGCAAGGGGCACCAAATCAACTATTTGTTTCAGAGCATCATGCACCAGAGACAGAACCTTATTCTTTCTATCAGCTCCATTTTCATTTTTCAGAAAATCAATGACATGTTTAGGAGCAGTAAAATGCCTCCAAGCCTCTCCAAACACCAATCAATATACATTCCCTTCGAAGCAGCCTGCAAAAAATACATATTAAGAAAACTTCAATAAATTCTCAAATGGCTTCATCAACAAATTACAAAGATATTGAGGTAATACAAAATAAAATATTCACCAATGATACGAGGAGCTCAATCAAAGCATCCATGATATCAATTGCATCATAATTCTTATATGTTGTAGCCAAATTCCACAAGCTCATTCTCTCAAGCTGAATAAAACATCTCGTCAGATCAACCATATCAAAAAATTATCTTACCACCACAAACAAAGAAAACGCAGAGACGGAAAAGTAACAAAATACGACGGTGAGAACCGAAACATGGCTAGGGTTTTAGATCGGTAGAGTACCGAAGCCGTAAAAACTAGATCTAACGGTCTAAAACCGGCGAACTATGGAACTGGTGGCGGGTTTTGTAAACCGGTTGGGGTTTTGTTATGTGAAAAAGAAAAGGAAATTAGAGAAGGATGGAGATGCAGCAGCAAGTGCGACGCTTAGGAAACAAAGGGAGGAGATGATTGTTGTTGATACGTTAGGGTTTTGATAGAGGAGAAAGAAAGAGGGTACAAGAAGGGAGAGAAGGTGAGAGAAAAACGGAATAAGAGGGTACGAGAAGAGAGAGAAGATGAGAGTAAAAGGGAAGACAAGAGTGAGAGGGAAAGAGGGAAGACAAGAGTTTTCAGAAAAATTCTGCCACTTTGCAAAATTGGACCATGCTATTGGTCAATGTTTTTGTATTTAATAAATTACCAAAAAGGGCATGATCTAGTCTTAAGTAAAAATCAAGTGAAGGGTAAATTAGGGAAAATGGTGGCATTTTCATTAATGGGTAGGTAGTTGATAAAAGATTTAATTTTTTATTGATGTTTTAAATATAAATTTATTATAAATGTATTTTTTAATGTGTTTCATACACAAGTTAGCATAATTCATAAATTAAAATAAAAGGTTAACATATTTAATAAAAAAAATTAATAAAATTTTACTAAAACAAAATACATGTTAAAACACCCAGCATTTAGGTCAAGGACCCGACCCAGCATTTAGGTCAAGGTCAGAAATCTGTTTTTCATTATTATAAATTTACAATGATAAAACAAACATTGATATTTCTTATATAACATTTTTATTCATAAAATATGGATAGATATTCAACAGATATGTAATTAAAATGAAAACAAAATAAATTAAAAATTTTATTATATTAATTTTTTTCTTATCGACAAAAACATAATTAGATACAAAAATAATATCAATACATTTTATTTTTAACCAAATAAATAAAAGGCTTAATATAACATTTATATCTAATTTATTTATTTAGTTAAAAATAAAATGTATGGATGTAACATGATATTCACTCCTTAAAAGGTATGGATAGTATTCACTTAGAGCATTTTTAATTTGCATTGGAATGACTATGATATGACATTTAATTCACTAACTTTTAGTTTCCAGCAATTATATAGCTAACGTATGCTATTTATTTTGAAGAATATGGAATGACCCACAAAAACAATTATAATTAAAGTAAAAATAGTTTGGGCCCACAAATCACTAAGTATAATATAAAATATAGGATTAAGTTTTAGTTTTTTATAAGCAACTATCATTAAAGTAAAAACATCTTCTTGAGGTACAACCTACGAATTCAACAGGGGTTTAGGATTTATACTTTGTGAGTCCTTGAATTTTGAAATTTTACATAAATAAATAAAAACATCGGTTCTTGCTGATTCTTGTTGAATTTTGAAATTTTACATAAATAAATAAAAACATCTTCTATGGATGCTTTTTCTGTCATCAAAATTTGTGTAGTTAATGAATTTTTTTTTTTGACAATGTAGAGAATAAACTTTATCTCTTTCTTTGTGAGTCCTCATCTAAGCCCCTGTTGAATTCGTAGGTTGTATGTAACACCCCCTTCTATACCCCAAATAATCAATAAAACATTTAGGCACATATAAAAATTTTCATCAGAGTATAGTTTTTAAAATATGGTATAAAAGAAGTTTGCCACATTATCATAAAACAATCATACAACACCTGCTCTTAATAAAGACATGCAACAGTGTGGTAGTTTTCAAATATAGGGACTTAGTCCTTACACCCACATTTCAACTTTTCTAAATTAAGCGGAAGATTAAAACATTGAATCATTAACATGTAGTCATAAAAATACACATCATCAAGTTTGTCTCATCGACATCATTTATGTTTTACAAAACATAGTCATCAGATACATATACAATGTATCACAAAAGAATGCTACACAAGCCTAACTACCCGATGTTACATATCAGAGCAATCCGACTCAAAAGAATGAAGCTATACTTCACAAAAGAAACCTCCAGCAACCTAATCTGCAATGCCTCATAGAGCATTATAAAACAGCAGAAGAGTGAGAAATATTATCATAATAATCAATGCATATAAATATATATATACATACACAAGTACCGAATACATATATTCCACATTTTCTCACCATAATTCATTATAGCTCATCATGCATTCACAACATGTATACACACATATGGATAATCACAAAACATGTTTCATCATACACATATCCATAATCCACAAACCAACAAACCACACATAAGCATCTTTCATATAATAATGACATTTATGCTATGTGACTCAATACCACTCCATGCAACTCATGCCATGTGGTACCAACACTTGTTATTTTTTTTCGGTTTTTACGTTAAACCGGGTCCACTCTTCTAGACCGATAACCACCAAAAGTCTGTCCTCTAAGCTTTCAAACCCACTCTTCTAGGCTTGGGACAAGTCACTAGTCTCCACGAAACTAGCAAGCATTGCCTCTTGACTAAATGATGCATATGCAATCAACAATTAAATGCACTTAAGACCGTTCTCGCATCTTAATCTCATGCATTCAAATAATTCATCTCTTCAAGAATTATAACATGATTGCACACACAACATATTCACATTATTCAAGTATTCATACTTTAAATCATCACACTCATCAAGCAATGCACACATATCCACAATATGTTCTCATGCATTATTCACATACAATCGCATAGAAACAATATACATTCACAATTCAATATCAATACCACATTTAATCAAGCAATGCACACATACCCACTATATGTTCTCATGCATCCTTCATACATTTTTAATCCACTTAAACAATGTACTATATTTGTCAAAAGACCGCATTTTAATTTAATTTCACAATCTAGGATTCACGCCATAAGGCTACCCACAGTATAACACAACATAATCTATGTCTTAAGGAAAAAGGGTTAATCATACTTGAATCGGAAAACCGACCTCAGATGGAACACACAAGAAAATCACATCCTGTCATGCTCGCTACCTTGCTCGCTTAGCGATTCCCCTAGCGAGTATTCGCTACTTGTTCGCTCAGCGAACAAGCTCGCGAAGCAAGGCAAACAGAAGCTACTGTCTTGCTTCGCTACCAAGCTCGCTCAGCGAAGTCCTAGTGAACCTTCGCTACCAGCGAAGACCCTCAAATCCATTATGTCCAAGTCTGGGACCGTTCTCTTCTGGCTCGCTACTAGCTCGCCTAGCGAATGTTCGCGACCAGCTCGCCTAGCGAACAAGCTAGCGAGTGTCTGCGAACTTTAAAACCCTCACTGCCAACTTCCATAACTCTCTCTAAAACTGACCGATTCTCGCCGAACCAGTTTCTGTAGCCCTAGTCTAACATCCCTCGATTAAATTATACCACTTATCCTCATTTTGAACCGTAAAAACTCGGTTTCTATCGATTAAATCCACTTATGCCCTAAAATGGAAGTTGTGGAAAAACATCCAACAATCTAACCCAAGCATACATAATAATATACATTGTTAAGATAATGATATTTCACACCCTTACCTTGATTAAATCGATGCTTGAGAGTTGTTCTTGAGCTTCCAAGCTTTTTCCCTCTTCTCCTTCTCTTTTCTCCTCTTTCTCCTTCTTTCTATATTCTTTCCTTTATGTTTCTATCTTTCTCTTTTCTCTCCACTTTTCCTTTATATATCTTTCTCTTCTATTTCTCTCCAACATCTATTAATTCATTTAATTAATCATCCACTAATTAAACAATCCCCATAAATCATTTAATTAATGTAATTAATCAATTAATGAAAATTGGGCTGTTACAACTCTCCCCCACTTTTAGGAATTTTCGTCCTCGAAAATGTTACCTGATTTGAACAATTATGGATAAGATTCCTTCATTTGACTCTCAAGTTCCCACGTAACATTTCCACCAGCCAGTCCTCCCCAAGCGACCTTCACCAAAGCAATCTTTTTACCTCGAAGTTGCTTCAACTTTCGATCTTCTATCTGCATAGGTGATGTCTCTACATTCAGGTTATCTCTCACCTGTACATCATCTACTTGGACTACATGAGACGGATCCGCAATGTATTTCCTCAACTGAGATACATGGAACACGTCATGGAGATTAGCAAGCGAAGGCGGCAAAGTAACATGATAGGCTACCTCTCCTATCCTTTGCAAAATCTGATAAGGACCTATGAAACGCGGCGTCAACTTACGTGACTTCAATGCCCTACCAACACCAGTCATCGGAGTGACTCGAAGAAACACATGATCCCCCTCCTAAAATTCAAGTGCCTTCCTCCTCTTGTCTTGATAACTCTTCTGACGACTCTAAGAAACTCTCATCTTCTTTTGAATCATCTTAATCTTATCGGTATTCTGCTGAACTATCTCAGGCCCAACTAAAAAACTCTCTCCCGACTCATACCAACACAATGGCGTCCTACAACGTCTACCATACAAGGCCTCGAACGGTGCCATACCAATACTCGAATGAAAACTGTTGTTGTAAGTAAATTCAATCAAAGTAAAGTAGCTATCCCAAGCTCCTCCCTTCTCCAACACACAAGCTCTCAACAGATCCTCAAGTGATTGAATTTTCCTCTCAGTCTGACCATCAGTCTGAGGATGATAAGCTGAACTCAAACGCAACTTTGTACCCAAAGCACTCTACCAACTCTCCCAAAATCTCGAAGTAAACCTCAGATCTCTATCAGACACAATGCTAGACGGAATACCCTGCAAACTGACAATCTTCTCAATGTACAACTTTGCCAACTTCTCCAAAGGGTAATCCATTCGCATTTAGGAATAAAGTGAGCAGATTTGGTCAATTTATCCACAATAACCCATATAGCTTCAAAGTTACTCGGCGTCCTCGGTAGACCAGACACAAAATCCA